GGGGCTGCGGCGCGGAAGGCCCTGGGCCCGGGCGGGGGCTCGGGATGGCCCTTCTTCCCTGGGTCTCGGGGCAATTGTGAGCACTACTAGCCTAGAAGCCCGATTCCCTGCCGGCACCGAGGACCGCACTGCTTGTCCGCGTGCACCCCGCCACCGCCTCACACACGGACCCTCCTCTCCTCCAGATTTACTGAGAGCCCCTCCTACCACCAGCCTCACCGGCAAAGGGAATCGGCCCTCTTCCCCTCTCCCTTGGCATGGCCCCTAGTCCAGGTTGCAGTCGGTGGAGCTGGGATAGGGGAGACAGGAGCTACAGGACTTCTCCAGAGGTGTTTGGAGCGGGCGTGGCTGGTGGCAAGAGAGAGGCCCCCTCAGACACCCAGGGATACCCCTTTCCCATGCCCCACCCTGTCCAGAGGGCAAGGGAGGGGGAGGACTCTGGACTTGGGTGGCCAGAGAACAACGTTAGGCCAGTGGACACCTGCTTCCAGAAAGATGAATAAAGACAAAGTGATTCAGAAACCCTGTGCTCCTTCCGCATCTGGGTGGGTGGGTGGGTGGGAGGTGGGAGGGTGTGGGAATAGTCCTGCGGGGCCTAGAGCCCATACGCGGGATCCTGTGTCCACACTCGCATTCTCCCACAAACGCGCAGGCCCGCCTGTGAAATGGGAAGGAAGTCCGTGTTGTGAAGTTTCCCACTAACTAATGAGAACACCGAGCTTCAGAGAGGTGGAGCAGCCGCCCGCACCCTGCGGCGGCACCCTGCCATCTCCGTCCTGTCCACCTCTCCCCAGACCACACCTCAGTCTAAGTCAGGAGGTAGAAGAAGCCGGCTTTCTGGTCCCCCTAGTCCCGGCCTCCAAGGCTCCTAACCCACACAGCGAAAGAAGTTGCTGTGTGGGGGCCCAGGGGAAGGGCGCCGGGTGGGGGTGGGGGTGGGGGCAGGATCCCAAGGCCTCGTGGTCGAGTGGCTTGCTCCGGATTGTTCAGCTCCCGGGAGGCACCCCGACTCCCAGGATGACTAAGAGTTCCTTGACTCAGCCGTGAGTGGGCGCTGCCTTCTCCAGGGGCCCCTCCCAGCCAGGTGTCGACCGCGGAGAGAGGCCGGCGGTGAGAGCACTGCCCCTTGTCCCAGGAAGGCGGCTGGCTCCTAGGCCCCGGCCTGGTGGGAGGGACAGGGCGGGGGCAGGAACAGCCAACTGCCTGCCGGAAGCCGAAATGAAAACGCTCCCGCCGGGACTG